ACATTCAAAACCAACCAATTCAAATAACTCAAAATCTGAGATGACGCAGTCCAACTTCACCCCCTCCAACCTGTTTGTCAGGTCTATTCGTGATCTCGAGAGACCCTCCGCCATCGTCATCAATTGAATTTTCGTTTGTTTTGAAATCCAAAATGCTTTGCTAGGCATTTTAATATGATCCGGCAAGGACGACCACCTAAGTAAGTCTCCAATACCGACTGAAGTGATGGTCATATGAGAGAGGACAAGATCGAACAGTAATTTTATTGTATTAATTTTTTAATATCTATAAGTTATGTGGTCAATTGTCTATGTAATCATTTCTTTTGACTTGAAATAAATATTTTTAAATTTAAATAGCATAATATAACATGTAATTAGAGTGAAATAAAAAATAAGAATTATTATCTCTCATTGTGTGATCAAAATAAAAAAAATAATAAATTATATTAAATTTTAATTAATTTAAAATTATATTATATTAAATTCATAAAAAAATAACTCTCTAAACTCTTATTTTTTGATTAACAAAACTCGAATTTATAATTTTATTTAAAAAAAATAAAATTCGTTTATTTAAACAATAAGTAGTTGATAAGATCGAACAATAATACAGTAATTATAATTATATATAATATTGTAAATTTATAATTATAATATATATTAAATATATATAATATTATAAAACAAAATTTTAAAATAAATTAATTTTATAAATTTATAATGACATATAACAATGTAACAATATAATTATGATATTGACTTGGCTCTTCAAATTTAATAATTTGTTTTTAAATCTTAATACTTGTATTGAATTAGGTGAAAATTTAAATTTCATAATCATTTGAATATTTATACTTAATTTATAAGTTACAGGTGCTTCTCCCAACTTATAGATCGGACCATTTCCTTTTCTCTTCTCCTAAAATAACCAAATATATATATAATTATGGTATTTTTATATGGCGAAATCCTTTTCATGTGTGTCCTTAAATTCAAAATTTGAAAAAGTTAATATTCTCTTCGGGGAGTATTAAACGAAGAAAAAAAGATACCTTTAATTACGAAACTAGTGAAGGTAGATATATTCTTGTCCACCCTTTTGCCATGTTTTTATGTGGTAGAGGAAATGACAAGCAGCACATTTAGCTAATTATACTAGCTTGCACTGACCTAAAATTCAGCAGCTTCCGAATCATACATCATTTTTATAGTAATTCATCTTTATCATCACAATTGTATATTTTTTAATAAAAAGGATAAACCCCACTCCACGATGAAAACAACATGGAAAAACAAGTTTAATCGTCATATGTCATTGGTAATCATATATATATATTTTTTTTTGGTATAGACCATTTGGTATCTGGAAATTTACTGAACCATCGACTAATCTGGATTCGAACTAAGTAGGACTCAATAGGTGACAAAGCTCTCCTTTACAAGTTTTAACAAAACTGCATTCTCATGACTTGAAACCAAGATGTTTGATTAAACTGAAACAGTTCTATATCAACTCATTCACCCGCTCATGGGCATCATATTTATCCCTTAAAAGATGCTATAAGGTACCATCAAAATGAGAAAAAAAGGATAGAAAAACTATTCTT